AATGGCTGTGGGTCTAGTTTTGCACAAAAGCCTTTAACGACATTTTCTGCACTGACTTAATTTGATCTCTCTGATTCAAGAACTTAAACGAAAGCCAGGAACAGAAAACGTATTATATTTTGCTGTAGTCAATGGTTTGGAGCCTCACAATCCTTGACAGTCCTCCCTGAAAAATTGAAAGTGTTGGTTGAATCTATTGTTTGTTTTTGATAATTCTTTTCCTCAATTCTACCTTTGAATTTTTATTTGCGAGTGTTGTGTCCTTTTGCAAGTCTTGTGTTCTTTCCATAAACCTTTTTTTTTCTACCACTTAATTCTTCATTCAATTTACTATCTTCCTGAACTTAATTATTTCTATCAAGCAATCTAAAGAACCATAATATGAAATGTGCTGCTCATGTTTGGGAACAATACGAATTGTATACTACGTTTTTTTATCAGATTAAAAATATCCTTCATGTCTTGAACCGGGCGTGAATTATCTCTTGAAATAACCTAAGCCAAGTTCTAATTTCTAGGCAAGCAGTGCACCACCCATGCATCACTCATGGATGCATAAGATACGGCAAATTACTTCAGCATGTGAACGCACCTTGTCCAAACGTATCTGCCATAGTGGCATGATTTCCATACCATTTGACATATTTGTAAAACAACAGATGTGATATGAGGACGTTACCGAAATCTACCATCTCCTCGTCCCTAATAAAAAGTAGAGCTGTGTTTATCCACTGGATCACGAATACCTTCTAAAGCTTGCCTATGCTATCGTCTGATTCTTAAAATTCTCCTGACAGCATATTTATAGTATTGCTATCTAACGCATATTTTGTCTATTGTAATGATGTGCTGACAAACATTGTATACAACTAAAAAAATAGTTAATGTACGTAGGTTAACTTGGATAACCATCTGTCTTAAGCCTAAGCATCAAAATCCATAAGACACAATTATAGCCACATTGTTAATTTATAATGAAACCAAACTAACGTGTTCATTACAACAAGTCTACCTCTTACTGTCTTTATACATCCTTTACCAATCTTGACAATCTTTAAAAAAAATTGAATAAAAGAAAAATCAATAGCATAAGTTTTAGGCATACTTATAGCGCCATCTTTAATTAAACATTTAATGGAGTACGTGGCCCTAAATACAAATATTACACATATTGAATAAAAGAACTCAAATATTGTAGCGCTAGAATGGATTTGTCAGCCTACTGTTGATATCTTGATGCAGTTAAATTTATATTTAACGTGCTTTTCTACTTGCATCTTTACCGTGTTTAACTGCAAACTTAGGAGCTTGAAATATTCAGTCAGGAAACAACTGAAGAATCTTAAAATGAGCATATTCCAACTATTGATCTCACTAAACCTGATAAGAAAGGTTTTCATGTAAAAACTGTTTAAGTTAATTACAGTCCATTGTTGTTTATATAATATGACATTAAAACAATGTAGTTTCTGAAGAACGTAACATTTTCTTTTTTTATTAGAATATACAAAAGTTAAAATGACAGGTATATATGGAGGCATGGAGTAATGCGTTATTTCCTAGTTAAACTGACACGTGTCAATTACAGCAGTAATCGTCGATCAATAGTAAAGCTTAAACTAGTCAGTACAAAATTTTTACATGAAAATAGTGTTTTACAGAGAAGGAAAAAATTGTTTTAACAAACAAAAACTAAATTTACCAAAATGTATAAGACCATACTCTACTCGACACAAATTGCTGTGTGTTTTGTTAACTTTAAAATTCAATACCATTTTTGTGTATTTAAAGCAAGTATTAGAACAAAAACTGATATTTAACATTATTATCATGCATTCTTCTATTTCAAAATAATGTGACTATTTATGTGTACAATATTACCTTTTTTAAACTATAGTCAATGTTTTTAAGCATTATCTGGTGTGCAGTCCAAATATTATTTTTTTTAATCTCTACTTATTGTATATAATATAGTACTTTTTTAAGTAAATAATGTCATGATTAGCTGCTTGACAATGAAGTAGAATGAGATCAGCTGTTTCACATCTTCCTTTAATCAGTATTGTATCCTTAAAAAACTGAGTTGTATATATATTTCACCCTGGAGCATGTGGAAATCTTCTGTTCTTATTTAAGTCAAATTAATTCGTACTTAAAAGCTACTTTAACTTTAATTCTCTTACGGTGAGAATCCTCTTCTGGTCCTGAAAATGATATGAATTAAACAACTTCTTTTTCAAAAAATGTAGTTTTTATGACACAAATCATTTCTTTTTAAATTGTTTGAGCAACTAGAACTCTTGTATGACCCAATTGCTGTAAGTTTTTTTGAGGTACACATATAAAAAAATGCCCTGAAAGCTTTATACCAGTAATAATTTAGTCTGTTTTTCTTGTCTATTCTTCCAGAAAATCTTGAGCTGACTTAATAAAATTATATAACTGACATTGTGTAACAGGACAACTTCTTTGAGCTGTGTATAAAATTTAAGTTTTTCTGTTTTCTTCTACTGTTATGTTTCGTATAATGTACGTTTTAAAGAAAAGTTATCTAGATGCTTTCTTTTTTCTACAAAGAGTAGCTAAAGGAAAATTATTAATAGTTGTAAGAAGATAAACCTGAAGCAACTTAATGTAAGGCATTCTTCACATTTTGAGAAAAGTACATTTATCTCTTTTTTTTTGTTCTTTTATTGAGTGGCCATAACAAAGGCGCTTTTTTCATTTTAACTCAAGGAGTTTATTATCGTCAATAATATTCTATAGTATCTGTCTTGAATAGTTGTTGAAGTAAGAAATTTACATAATTCCTTTAGTTTACGATCATTTTTTTTTTTTTTCAAGGGCTTGAACAATGAGTAGCAATCTCTTGATTTTTTTCTACTATATGAATGCCATTAGACTAAGTATCTTTTTATTTTAGTAAGTCATGTTGGGATGAAAGTACTTACTTAAGGAACTTAAGTTTCCTCCCAAAATAAAAATAATCACATTTAGATGAACCTGTACAAATATATCATTTAATATCATACAAAACGACTAGTAAAATTTTTGACCGATTCAGAACCTGTGCGCTGAGATGTGAACGTATCTTTTAACACGTGCTCTTATAGAAATTCATAAAATCGTACTGAACCTTATACATTTCTATTTTTTACGGTACTTTTAAAGATCCAATTTTAAAATAACTAAAACATATTTTTTATTAATCGCTCAAGAACGTTTGTGTCTTTTTTAGAGTGGTTCAGAACTTCATAAACTATTATTTATTGATACTGCAAAATATTTGATGCGATAGCAGTCCATATTTTTCTTACTTACGAAAATGTGGCAACGTTGCGTTAAGTTGGTATTTCTGAGGCCATATGTCACAATAATGAATAAATACAGGACATGAATACGTTAAGCACGATATTTGAAAATTGAAAACGAAAAATGACACTGCTTTGAAGTGCACTTAGAAAATATTTAAATGAACTAGTTCTTATACTAATTAAAATATGCTCACATATACATACAGGAAATAATTCGCATGATAAATTGCAACGTTTGGTTTGTTTACCTATATGACAGCTGATGTCCGCTCCAATTGCTTGTCTAATTCACAAGCGTAACGTTGCCACACTTCTTACTCATAAAAAGTTTGATGTTCTCTTTCTTTCTCTAAGATCGGTCTTCCTCTCTCTTGCCAAGAAAACTCCCTTAAATAAATAAGTCTTGATATACTTTCATAAGTATAATGTACGGAATACCAAAGTACTAAGCATGGAATACCAAAGTTCAAGGTCAATAAAATAAATTACAAGGGATATTTTTACATTTTTGAAAGTGGTCAGAAAGTACTATCTAAGACAGATTAAAATAAACCAATTTGTTTAAATAACAGTTAATTTTTATACAAAACTACAATATAAATGGGCTTGTCTACTCAAAGCGGGCCACCTTGCACACGCAGAATTTTTTAGCCTAAACAAGTGTGTTCAACTCACTTATCATATCTGGGAGACAGCTAAAAAATTAATTAACAACATATATCGACAAATTTTGGTCTGCTCTTTTTATAGTGCAATTTAATTTTTCTCAAAATCTTTTTTTTGTGAAGAAAAGTGAGTCAGCACTCAGGACTTTTTAAAAAACTTTCTTCGCCAAAAAGAGTTCCTATAAAACCTTGGCTGTTTTGCGGTGGGTCTTTTTGTAAACTTTTCGTTCACAGTGATTTCAGGATTTTTTTCTTGTCCACAGGTCTTTAGACCTGGGTCAATGCAAAATAGTGTTAGGGCTATAGGTAAGGATAGCGGATCTGATGCCAGACGCCAGGCAGGGATCGCTGGCCTTACCAGTGAGAGGTGGTCCTTGAAACATGGGGCTTCTCCAGGGATGCTAATTAGCCTAGGTCCAATGCTTGGACAGATAGCACGTGCTTCACTGTCCAGGGGTAGATGTCCTGAAATACGGAGTCTTCTCCAAAGAAAGGCTACACAGTGGTGAGTGGACCTGATGTATCACTGGTGCAGAGAATTCCAGCTTAACGGGCAAGATATTCCACCAGAGATATTCCAACTGTAACCATGGTATGATAGATACGATACTAGTTAAGAAATTAGTAAATTGGTGCCGTAATATACCCCCACACAAACGTGGTGAGTGGGTAGTCCAGGTAATTATGCCAATGGGCTGTCGTGTTTCCTCGTAAGAAAATTACATCTAATTTTTTCCTTCTATTAATAGAATCGGTATATAAGTGATAAAATTACATGTAATACAAGAAATTATTATTTTTAGCAAATATGCAATTCAGAACTTTATTTACTACTGAACTTCTTAATAATACCTAAAACAGTATGAATTTGTAAACAAGAACCACATAAAATGTAATTAATAATGAACAACATGCTTAACACAAGGATTAGGAAATACAAATAATCAGATGCAAACACTTAACAGTTGAACAATTTTTTATTTAATACAGAAAATTTATCAAAAGAGCGATGCTTTAGCAGGAATCGTTCAACATCATGGCAAAGGTATAACAACTTGTACGTATGACATAGGAAAGTATCCTGTTCGTCCATTAACACTTCCTTCAAACCAATTATCATCTATTTTTTGATGTAAAACGATAGAATCATTTTCCTAAAAAAAACATCTTGTTTATTTCTAGAAAATACAATGATTATATTTTTTAGGGTTAGATTATTTAATCAATATCATAGTTACAACGATAAATTTGAGGTGCAAAAACTATCTACTTATATAGCTTTGAATACAAATAAATATAACTGTAATGAAAAATCAGTGTTGGCTCAGTGGTAAGCATGCTTGTTACTAATACAATGTTGTTCTAGGGGCCATGGGTTCGATTCCCAGTAAATACAGATTTTTTCATAAACTGTTTTTATCAGGAATAAGTTCCTATGAAACCTTACTGGTGAAGAGTGGTCCCTAAACATGGGGCATCTCTGGGAATGCTAATTAGCCTGGATCCAATGTTTTGGCAGAGAGCGCTAGCTTAACTGGTGAGGAGTGGACGTCCTGAAATATGGAGTCCTCTCCGGGTAATGGCTACACAGTGGCAAGTGGACCCGATGTACCAGTGGTGCAGAGAATGTCAGTTTAACTGGCAAGATGATTTACAAAGATACTTCCACTGTGTCCACCGATTAGGTATGATATCAGTAAAAGGGTTGGAAATAAGTTTGGAAATACACCCCCACACATAGGCGGTAAGAGGGAGATCCCAGCGACTAGGCCAGTAGGCTGTCGCTATAATCCAGTAAAAAAAAAAATAATAAAAAAAAAGAAATAAAATGAAATAAAACTGTAATAGACAAAAATGTGAAGTCCTTTCTATACTCTTATAGTACTATTTCAAACTGACTACTAAGTACGTGATGCAAGGTGGCATTCTTTATCACCTAGAAATTTATCATGTACAATTTTTATTCCTATTATTTGTTTTACTTTTTCTTAAATGATTAATAAAAACATATATAAATTGCCAAATTAAATTTTAAAGAGTCGGCATGAAGCATATAATGTGCGCTGTCAAGTACGCGCAAGAAGCTAGATAAGATATGCTCAAGGATTATCGGCAAATAGTATAATCGATAGTGCGCAGAGAGATAATGTAGATTACGGCCGCAAATTATCTGCAAGTCAGCTATAAAAGGTGTTGACGTGCAGGGAAACGATGTCCTCTTGCAGCGAACATGGGACGTAGAAATGCGCTGCATATCCAGACCTAAAACTCTCCTGTACACCGGTACTAACCACGACGAGCACGAGCTGAGAGAGAAAGCGACCACGTAGTTGAGATACTAAGGATAGCGACGGTGCTTCTTGGGCGAAATATTTGAATGGATTACTAGAGCTTTGCTTTAGATACCCAAGACCCCGAGGACGACCTAACCCTACGTGACTCTTTCAGAACAGAAATAGAGCCCAGGACTAACACTCCGAGGCTGTACTACTTTCGGTGGATCCTCCAACGAGAAAGAGAATTTGTACGAGAAAATTTAAAAATCTTTAAAAATACATTGCGGCAACACCAAAAATTAAAACTCTATCTATTTTGTATTCATGCGCGAAATTCAACTTATTTTGGATTTGCAGCCTCTGAAATACAATAGAAACTTTTCGGTAGTTAATTTGAAATTGCGATAATTATTAAAATAAATAAAAGTAAAAACCTAGCGTTTGAAAACATAATTTTCTTATTAAAATAAAAGTAAATAAATCTTAGAAAGAGAATGATTAATTGTACTTATTTATTCAAACCTACCTCTCCATAGGTGATTGCGAGTCCTTATATTACTTGAAGTTTATTTCAGAATTTATTTATAAGTGATTTTGTTACTTATTTTATTATCTAATTAATTGGGAACTTTTTTTATCCATTGCCGAGTTCACGAGTAGAGAAGAAATTGAGTTGTGTGAAAATAAAAGTAAGTTTAAACGTATAAGAATTTCATCTGTGCCCAGAGAGGCAGAAATAAATTTACTTTGAATAAGACAAAATTCCCAAAGGAAAAATCAATATACCAATAATAAAAAATAATCGCTGTATATATTACAGGGGTTCATGGATTATTGAACACTCAATTTAAACATAGATAAAAGCTACTTTAACATGTTTTTTTTTTATGGAATTGGCAACTCAAGCGATTTTGCTCTTTCACACTGTGCAACGAACCCGCCTTCTAACATATAATTACTGATACTGATTCTGTGTTGGTTCCTAATCTTGCAGGTTCCCCAGCACAGATACAATTCTTAGCCATTTCTTAGCTGCCACGCACTCGTCAGGGTTATACTAGAAGAAAGGTAGGTCGTAGTGAACTATTTCAAATTTGTGTTGCATAAAAATAGGACCCAAAACTTTAAAACCTTAAAACCTTAAACCATTTACTAAAATGTTAAAAATATTCATTATTTTTAAGATGACTTCAATCAAGGTGTGTTAAAAAAATAACGAGAATTTTTGTTTTATGAAAAAAAAAATTTATTTATCCATGAATATCTATTATGTCTCCTTTAAAATAATACCCCTTGGATATAATACACTTGTGCCAACGCTTTTTCCAATCCTCGAAGCACTTTTGAAACTTGATCTTTGTAATAGCTTTTAGCTCTTTCAGCGATTCGCTTTTAATGTCATCTATGCTTGTAAAACGGCGGCCTTTGAATTTTCTCTTTATTTTTGGAAATAGAAAAAAGTCACATGGAGCCATATCTGGCAAATATGAAGGCTGAGGCATCATTACAGTTTTGTTTTTGGACAAAAATTCATGAACAAGCAATGAAGTCTGAGCAGGTGCATTATCGTGGTGCAAAAGCCATGAACTATTTAGCCACAAATCCAGGCGTTTTTTTCGGATCGCTTCACGCAAACGGCGTTGAACTTTTAGGTAGTACTCCTCATTGATTGTTCGACCTTGTGGCAAGAATTCATAATGCACTATGCCACTTTTTTCACGTTTTCATCGGTTGTTGATGTGCTTGGGCGTCTGGGTCGTTCGTCATCTTCATCGTTTTCGCGGCCATCTTGGAAACACTTATACCACTCGTAAATCTTTGCTTTACTCATAGCAGTCTTACCATATGCCTTTGTTAACATTTTACAAACTTTACTACAATTTATTTCATTTTTTACGCAAAATTGAATACAAATCCTTTGATCCATTTTTTTTCACAAATGAAAATCGCCAAGCTCGAAAAACATGTCTAACGTTAGCGGCTGCCACTTAAAAAGTAAGCAATGAATATTGCAGAAAATTTTATCGTACTTCAGGGGATGTGTACCAACATAAAAAAAAAAATTTTACAGGTGGACTCCCCAAACCCGAGAAGTTTAAAAATTCTCGTTACTTTTTGAACACACCTCGTATATTAAAAGTCTTATAAGAAACACATTTAAAAAGTAATTAACAATGGTATTTCTGACATGGTTATTAAATAATGAAGACCTTCGGGAGTGCCAACAGAAGTAAAAACTCTTACAATAACGTGGGTATTTTTGAATGATAAGGAAATAATTTTTGTAGGAAGTACTTTCAACGCGTTAGTAGGGTGAACAGTACTCTCATGGTCATAAGAGTACTGTCCACTCTACTAACGCGTTAAAGCTATAGGGAGCCAGAATTATAGTTCCATATAATAATAAAAAAAAGCATGAACATGTCACGTTTGGAACAAAGTCCCTTTCCTATGCAGGATTGATATAGTTAATCATTAACGTGCCAAGACCTCTTTACCTACCCTTTCCTTTTACTATTTGAATATTTTATTCTTGGCATTAATAAACCAAGTTTCAATCTAATTTAATTCTCTTTAATTTTGCTTGTTGATGCAATAAATAACGATGTTCATAAATTTATTAACAATATATATATAAACATTTGCTTATTTGTACGTTTAGTTATACTGTAATTTTTCTCAAGTTTATAGCATTAATTTGAAAAAAAGTTTTTTTTTGTCTTCTTTCGTTAGTATCGTGAGTTGACAGTATATTAGTCATTCATAAAGTGTCCAACACGCCTCAGGATATTTTCACTCCAAAAATAAAATTATAAACTTCGCAATATTATTAAAAAAGCCGAGATAATAATTCATGCAGAATTTCTCTCAAGAGTCTGTATCTAACATGCCTAGTTTCAACCGAAAATTAGTATAAGTACACAGTTACACATGAAACACTTTGTACATGATTTTTGCTTGATTTTTTTAAGTGTAGATGCACTTATAGCACTCGTCATGGACTGTAGTACAAACACACACGCTCATATAGATATATGAGAATAGAGTGCACGAGAGAGCAGCCACGCCGTAATCAGAGCAGAGAGAGAATGTCTCTAAGTAAGGGCCGCATGTGTATTTATCCAGCCAAACCCCGTGACCTCCCACTAGATGCTATGTGTCCCTTTTGAGGAGTGTGTTTAACAGCTGATTACGTGATTTGGCTAGACAAAGATAGATGGGGCCTTTACACAGGTTTCTCATCGACAGAAACAGGCTGTACATTTTCGCCATGCAGTGGAGAGGGGAATATTACTTCTCTCCTACGCTGGTGGTCTACTCTCCCTTAATCTTACAAATTTCTGATCAGCATCACGTGAAGTGACGTGAGTTTAACATTTTTTAATCATTCTAAAAAATTACCCAACGCCGTTAAAAAATTAATTATAAATTAATTATAGCATCTTTTACTTCTTAATAAATATGATTTTTTTTATATAACTTTAGTAGCTCCTTAAATTTTTAAGGGCGTAGTAAAACGAGTATTTATAAGCTTATTTACAATTTTGCGTAGAAACAGTTTTATAGTATTGATTTTTGATGGAATAAATCCTTTTCGTTAAGCTTAGGCAGAAGAATTACTACTTTTGCCTAATATTTTTTGCCAACTCTTGTTACTGCTGTCAACCAATTCATCGATTTTTTAACCCTTCGATCTCGCAAGTAATAGATAAAAATAGTTTCTCTCCTTACGGCTTGAAGGACCTGCAAATTTGTTGCCTCCCTTGTGTCCCACATTTCACTTATCCTGTACAAACAAATTTTGAAGTAAAAACGAAGATATATTAGATATCTTAGAAAATACTAAACAGAAGTCATGACATAATTTTTACCTCTTT